GGATCCGAACCCTCAGCGGGAGCGCCGCCGTGCTCCCAAGCGGTGCACTGTAGCAGTGCGCCACTGGGCCGGCCCATTAAGTGGAGATTAAAGAGTCTACCTTCAACCTACAGAATGGGAGAAAATATTTATAAATCATGTATCTAATAAGAGGGTAATATCCAGAATATGAAAGAACTCCTATAACTCAACAACAACAACAAAACACAAAAACAAACAACCCAGTCAAAATGGGCAAAGCACTTGAATAGACATTTCTCCAAAGAAGACATATGAATGGCCAATAAGCCTATGAAAAGATGCTCAACATTACTAATCATTAGGGAAATGCAAATAAAAACCACAGTGAGAAACTACCTCACACCAATTAGGGTGACTACTATCAAAAAAGAGAAAAAAAAAAAACAGAAAATAACCAGTGTTAGCAACGACATAGAGAAACTGGACCCCTTGTGCACTTTGGTGGGACATAAAATGGCACAACTGCTGTGGAAAACAGTGTGGCAGCTACTCACAAAAATAAACATAAAATTACCATATGATCTGACAATTCCACTTCTGGATATACACCCCAAAATTGAAAGCAGAGTCTTAAAAGGATACTTGCACACCCATGTTCACAGCAGCATTATTCACAATACTCGAAAGGTGGCAGCAACCCAAGGGTCCATCAACAGATAAATGGATAAATAAAATGTGGTATGTACACACAATGGAATATTATTTGGCCTTAAAAAAAGGAATGAAATTCTGAACATGCTACTATATGGATAAACCTTGAGAAAATTATGCTAAGTGACATAAATCAGTCACAAAAAGACAAATACTGTATGATTCAACTTATGCGAGGTACTCAAACTAGTCAAATTCATAGAGACAGAAAAAAAATGATGGTTTCCAGGGACTAGGAGGAAACAGAAGTGGAGAATTGTTTAATGTGTGCAGAGTTTCAGTTCTGCAAGATGAAAGGGGTTCTGGAGGTTGGCTGCCCAGCAGTATGAATGTTCTTAACACTACACTTAAAAGTGGTATAGAAGGTAAATTTTATGATATGTTCATTCTGCCATAATTAAAATTTTTTTTATTTTTAAATGCTTTCACCTTTAAAAAAATCTACTTCATAGTGTTGTTGTGATAATTAATAATGTATGTAAAATATTTACGACCTATGGACTTTTCTTAATGTGTATTACATTTTAATTAAAAGTTTACACACAAAAAAATGTGTAAAGTGGTTAGAGCAGAGCTGAATTAGGCTCTGAGCAAGTGTAAGCTGTGAGCACTGCCCCAGAACTGTGTCTGATGCTCTAGCTGGACCACAAGTCCTCCAGGACCCAGACTGTAGGTATCTGCCTCTCCAGGACCCAGCACGGTGGCTGGCATACACAATAACAGCAACCACAGTCAATAAGAAGAACAAATAACAGCAAAATAATAGCTCACATTTACTGGGCATTTATCATGTGCCAGGAACTGTGCTAAGTTCCTTGTTTGCATCAATTCATTTAATTTCTACAGTAATTCCCACCGTACGGATGAGGAAACCGAGACCCACAGAGAGACACAACATTAACTATATCAAGTGATTTGTGTGACTCTCACTTCCTGTCCCTCCCTGGAATGTCTCTTCAGCCCAGTAACATTTTCCTCCTTCCTGGTCCAGCTGGGGCACCATCTGTTTTGAGTTCATCCCTGATCCTCCTTCCCCAACCCCATCGATAACAGAGTTAATTTTTCTCTCTTCTGTGCTACCCAAATTCTTATCCATCATAGCACCTGCCCTGCTAAATTATGACTCATCTGTTCATTGTCTGTTTTCTCTTTGTGACCAGGACCCCCTTCAGAAAAGAAACTACATTTATTTTCACACTCCTATGTCCTGGCACTTACTAATTGTAAGATTAATATTTATTGGTGGCAGTGAAATAAATGAATGCAAAATTGAACTTTTGGCCTTTTCCTTATGTAATGCAGAAATTCTCTTTATTACAGCCAGCCACGTTAAATTGTTTTTGAAAAAAGGCTGGGTATAAATCCATCAATCAAATGCAGTCTAACTTCCTTGACAAGAGGTGAGTCAACCCTAGACAGGGAAATAGGGTCATTTATGACAAGTTTTCAACCAGCGATCAGCCCTTACAGCATACCTATTATTCACCAGTAGCTATCTTATGTGACCTGGCACAACAGCACCTTACCCCAAAGCAGCACATCATGTTTTCAAAGTGTTTGTACATCCACTGACTCATTTGATTTTCCCATCAACCTTGTCAAGTGGACATTACAGGTATAATTATCCCTATTTGATAGAAGGGGAAACTGAGGCACGGGGAGTTACTCAAGGTCGTTGCCCAGGTCCAGTCACAGTTGTGAGCTACGACTTCCTCTCAGCACGATGTGAGACTGCCCAGTGAGATCATGAAACACCCCCCTGGACAGAAAACCTTGGGGTCTTCAGGGGGAGCAGGAGCCAGGCTGAGCTGACCTCGCAGAAGATGGGTGTTGGAAATTGGGTAAGCGAATTGAGGCAAAGACAAAGTCTGTAACCAACCTGATGGACGGACGTGGGGCAACCGAGGGGAAGCAGAACCTGGTCATGTTTACAGGAAAGGGCTCAATCACTGAGTATGTGTCCCAATAGGCTTGACCCAGCCCATCCTTGAGGCTAAGGAAATGAGGACAGCTCAGGCAGAGCTGGTGGAGAAATCCCCAGCAGTGGCAGGAGGGAGGCAAGGAGGACTCAGCTTGTTCAGAACTCAAAGCCCATGGAACCCAACACTCCTCAAGTGAGACAGGCAGGAAGAACTCCCCTCAGCAGGAGGCCACTGTCTCTACACATCTAGATGCGGCCAAGGGGCCCTGCAGGAGGGAGCACAGATTCGGGTCATGGGATTCCAGCCCTGCAGACCCATTCCTGCATTCCCTCCTCAAGCACTAGCTGAGTGTCCCACGTGCTGACCCCGGGCCAGGTGCAGAGATGCGGAGATCCTGCCTTGGAGGAAAATGCAGAGACTAAAACACACTACCATGCAGCAGAATGTGTGCCTTGGCAGGGGAAAGTCCAGAGAGAAAGGAAATGCAGACATCTTCCCAGAGAGGTGGGGGCCAGCTGAGTCTAAAGGCTAGCACTGCAGACTGGAGAGCGTGGAGGGGCGGCAGGCCCAGCCCAGAGAGCAGCCGGGCAGCATTTCGCTTCAGAGCTTCACTCATGAGAGACAACATCTCCCAGGCCCAGCTCCCAGGGCACCCACCGCTCACCTTGTTCTGCACACAGACCCAGCTGGGGGAGGAGACCAGACCAAGCCCCTTCAATGACCCCCCAGTTATTGCACAGGTGAGCAATGCCATGATCTGCCATCATTACTTTAAAACCCATTGTTCCTATCTCGATAAGTTCAGCATACCGGTTCCCAGACCCATCCTCAGAAAAGACAACCACCCATGACGGGCTTAGGCATTGCCTGAAGGAAGAGGAGACCCTCTCCAGGGATTCTGCATCAGATTCCTGGGCTCTCAGGAAAGGGACAGGAAAACAATATAGAGATAAAGTGGGCAGGTCTCAGCTGGGAGGGGCCAAAGACCACAGGAGGACTTGGATCAGTGAATCATGAATAGCCCAGAGGTGGGAGTCACTCCCACATTCTTCATCATGTTTCATTAGTGAAGACCAGGCCCATCCCTTGTCTCATCCAGGAATTCTTCCCTGGTTGACAGTCTCCCAGGTTCCACTCATTGCTCTACCCATGACAGCTGTCTACAGTTCGCTGGTCTGGATTGTCAGCTTTGCCCTTGTCTCGGCCTCTGACTCAGCATGCACAAAACCCAATGCACCATCTTCCCTGCAAACCAGTTCACGCCCCAGTGCCTGTGATGCCCATGCCAGTTTCTGGCCTCATCTTCCCCTCAGTCACCAACTCCTGAACCTCAGCATCATTGTGGATCCCTTCCCTCCCTCAGGCCATCTCCAGGGTCTGGGGTTCTGTGTTCTCACTTCCTCTGTGTCCACTCCCTCCCTGCATGCCTGCACGTTGCCATTCACCTGGTCCTCCTGTCTCCTGCCAGGCTGTGCAGGAGCCTCCAATGGGTCTCTAGGCTCTCCCCCATCTGATCTGCACTCCATGGCCCCAGCTAGTTTCTGAAAGCACAAAGCTGGTCCCATGGCCCCCACCTCCTCCCCACGCTTAACGACTCAAGGTCCCATTAGCTAAAGGACAAAGCCCAAATTCCAATGGGCAGCTTTCAAGAACTTCCAGAGCCTGGTCCTAACCCACCCCTTTAAATTGATTTTGTACTATTCTTCTCCATGGACACTAATTTCCAAGCAAACTTCCCATTGCTCCTGGAAATTCCGTATGAATTTCTATGAAGTTCTATGAACTTCCGTTGAAGTTCCCTCTGCTTGACATGTGCCTCACCCTCTGCATCCTGGTCCCTCCCAGGCCCAAGTCCACCTTTGTACACTGATTCATTGTGGCTGTCCTTCAGAGCAGGGACACCTTCAAAAACTGGTCCACATGCAACACTGCCCTCGAGCCTCCCTTCCTAATCAGCAACATCACTGGGGAGGCTTGGCTTCCTCACCTCCCCAAGAGAAGACTCTTCCCTCTCAGGCCCAAAACTGAGAGCAAGGCTGTGTCTCCCCCCTCAGACAGGGGCTCCCCGGAGGCAGGGGTGTGTCTCCCCTTTCAGACAGGGGCTCCCTCCAGACAGGGCTGTGTCTCCCTCTTAGTCAGGGGCTCCCTGCAGACAGAGCTGTGTCTCCCACCTAAAACGAATGTTCCCCAGGGAAGGAATCAACCCTCCTTTTTCTGGACCCATAGTGGATGCCCAAAACCATGAAATATTTAAAAATTGCTTTATTCTCTTCCATGCAGCTGTCTTTCCACAGACAGGCACATACATGTGCACACACACAGAGACACAGCAGAGTTCTCGGTTGGGCTGCCTGTAGTCAGCTCCTGGGGGCAGGCTCCAGTGGGCAGAGGGCTGCCTGTCCCGCTCTAATAGAGGCTGTGCTGGGTACAGTGGTATGCACACAGCTGCCGGTGGTACTGTAGGTGGTAGTCTTTCACCAGCTTGCCCAGGATGTAGAGGAACTCGTCAAAGCAGATCTGGTTGTCCTTGTTCTTGTCTGCTGCCCGGAACAATTCTGCAATGTAGTACGGCTCCTTGCGGCCCTGAGGAGTGGGCAGAGGGTCAGCCACCTGCTGAGGTACACAGCCCACCTGCTGGGCCCTCTACCACCTGCTGGGATGGGAGAGGTGACAGTGGCATGGCCCTGCCTGCAAGGGGCTTGCGGGAAACAACTCCTCCCTCACACAGTCAGTGGCTAGGATACCACAGGCTGCAAAACCAGATGAAAGAGGCCAAAGTGTGGTAGGGGCCTCAGGTAACTGGCCCTGGAGCTGCATGGGTACAAAAGAGGGAGGTAACTGGGCTCTGCTTACTGGTCTGCAGCTCCTGAGCAGTGCTGAGCAGCCTGGCATCCCCAGACACCAGTCACATCACTGTCAGTGGCTGCCTAAGCCTGTCTTCCCAGCTGAACTTCATGCTCCCCTGGAGGGACACCCAGACTAGGCTTCCTGAGGGTAGGGTGGTGCTTCCTCCTCCACACTGGGAGCTCCCCAGGGCAGAATCTGCCTGTCTCCCATGTCCATTGCAGTTCCAGCACTAAGTGGGGTCATGTGTGCATGCTGTGGCACCTGCTATGAAATTCCTATGACAGTTTGACTCTGTCACCTACATAGGGTGCAGAATGAGGGAAAGGACAAAGCCATGAGTGCTGGAGCTTCCCAGGAGGTCCCAGATCAGGTGGCTCTCCTGCACTCCATGGCCCTGAGGGCTGAGGGTTAAGAAAGTAGAAGAGAGAAAAGATGTGTTGGAGATGGAAGGGGCAGCATGAAGAAAGTCCGGGTCAGGGTGCAGCCAGGAGACAGGGCAGGCAGAGGCAAGGTGGGCATTGGGAGTACAAGGCAGGTGAAGCAGGATTTGGTTGGTGGGTGTGGAGAGCCCAGCATGGAGCCCTGAAAAGCCTCTGGGGGAAGGAAGCTTGCATCTGTACTCAGCTGTGGGCCTGGTGGAGGGCCCCTCATCCTGTGGGCAGGTTTGCAGCCTCTGTCCCTTCACCACCCACCACTACCACCTGTTTCTGTGATCTGATCTCTTCTACAAAGAAGCTGGCTAACCAGAGAAGATCTGAAGGCTTCCTGCCTCAGTCAGGCTCTCCCCAGCTTTCTTCATCTGGCCCACCTTCCCCAGGCCTGCTATCTGTGCCCAGGTGTCTGTCTCTGAGGGCCCTTTGCCTGGGTGGGCCTGTGAGCCCCATGAGTGCAGCGCCTGGCCTGGCCTGGCACAGCACCATGGACAGGCAGTCTACCCTGGAAAGGAAGCAGTTTCAGGGAAGCAGAAACAGGGGACTAACCACAGTGACCTCCCACCTTAGCTCCTTTCCATCTCTGCAACCCCCAGAGGTTCACCCCAGTAAACAGAGGGCAAGACTGTCTCCTTGACATTTCCCAAAGTTAGGCAAGGAACGAGGGGAAGTGACCGAAGGATAACCTTTTCCTGGAATGAAGTGGCCTTGAGTCAAGGGATGGACCCAAAATCCTCTGGAGATGATAGTCCAGAGACCCTGGGGCATGGAACAGAGGGCAGCACCCCACAGACACACACCCTGCCAGCCTTGCAGTCCCCAAGGAGCCCCGTAATCACAGGGTTGAGCCTGGTGACAGAAAAGATTGCCAAGGCCTGAGCAAGTGTCTGTGCCTGGACTCCAGGGCAGGGCCCATCTGGGGAGAGACTCTGAGAGACTCTGGGGATGAAGGAGGAAGGGGCTCCTACTAGGAAGGGAAGGCTTGTGCAAGACCCAGCAGAAGGGGCTGGAGCGCAGAGGGCTCGCCAAGGTGCAGAGGGATGGGCCTGTATTCAGGATGCAGGACGGGAGAGGAATGAACAGGTTTGGGCTTAGGACTGAGTTTCAGGGATTAGCTATGCTTGGGCTGGAGTTCCGGGAGAGCGAAGGACAAGAAGTAAAGCTGGCCTGGGACCCGTCCCTTCCTCTGGTGTGGAGTCATCTTTCTGCACTCACTCAGTCCTTCCCTACCCTCCCCTAAATTGGAGATTCTCATGGGAGAAGGCTCCCCCTACCTAACACCCTCACCACTCACTTCCAACCCCATAACCAGCCCTATATCCCTGCCCTGGTCTCCTCTCTTTCCCCCACCCTGATCCCAGACCCTCCGCACCAAACTCTCCATGAAGCGGGGCACGTTGTCAATGAGCAGTGACTTCAGCTCCTCCAGGGACAGGGTCTCCACGTCCCCTTCCCGGGCTGCATACTGGTGGTAGCAGTGGATGATTTGGAAGAGGGATTCCTCTACTGGCGTGTCCATCCTGGCAGCTGGGCCCCAGCCCAGGGCAGGGGTTTTGGATGAAATGAAGGGCAGCAGGCGAGGATCCTGAAAAGAAGCCCACAGGCCCAAGGAGGGACAGATAACACTGAAGAAAAGGAAAGGCCTGTGAGCGCTCTAAAGGGGTGGAGCAGCTGGGGGCTGTGGAGACTCTGGGAGCAGAGAGCAGCACCTCATCTGGGCCAGCCCATAGCAGATGGTACCTCCTCCAAGAACCTTCTGCCCTCTGTCCTGCTCATATCCCTGCACTCCATCTGACCCCTTGCAAATTTGACTGAAAGTTGCTGCCCTGCAAGAAGCTTCCCTGCAAAATCTTAGGACAGGGCTCCGTCCCTTCACTAGGACTAAGGGCCTCCTGGGCACAGGAGCTGTGTCCTCCTTCTTTCCAACCTACCCTCAGTTTAAGAATTACCTGAAGTCAAGAATGGGAAGAAACTAAAGACTCCTTGAAGCAAGACAGTGTTCATGTTGATTTCCAATGGAAATATGCTTTAAAACCTTGAAAGGCAGGATCCCCACTACTATAAACTATTTTGTGCCACAAACAGAATATTAAAATAATTATACTACTCAGAAAACCCAGCCCTGCTGCTGTGTTGTTGTTGCTGTTTTCTTTCTCAGCTGAATGTGCAGATAACACACAGATTCCTATCTTTACTCGTACCTCGACTTTGCTGTGCAAACCTCCCGAAAAGGAGTCAGCGGGCTGTCAGCACGGTGCCTTCAGCCCTGCCATCCTGTGGCCCCCGCAGAGCCCCCACACAGCACCCATCTGATGCCCGTGACCTCCCGCTCCCGCTGCCTTCCCGTTTTCAGGAGACGGGATTATGCCGCTGTCAGGTCACCCGTGCGCCCTGCATTCTGTGCAGGTAAGAAGCACAACAACCGCTGCTGCCACCACCTGTGGAGCCAGCCAGGCACCAGGTGAAGCACCTTTTACTCAGGATCCCATGTAATCCTCACAATGGCCTTAGGAGTTAGGCAACATTACCCCCATTTTCCAGAGGGGAAATGTAACCCAGAGAGGTTTAAGTAATTTCCCGAGATCACAAAACTGATCCACCAGGAACTAGATTTAACCAGTGTCTTTAAGAACAAGCCCAAAGGATTGCTTTTAATTTCAGGTCCTGAACCCCTTTGGAGCCACAGTTATGCTTTTGGGACACCATCCACACTATATATGTTCTCCAAAACAGGTAAGCTGCCCATCTCTGCTTTCTAGAACCTGCACAGATCCAACACAGCCCACCCAGCCCCCACAGTTCTCTTGGAAGAGGCACTGACCTGTTGCTGTTGGGCAATGCTGCTCTGAATCCACAGTCCTGGCCTATGGTTGATCCTGGAGATTCCCCGATGCTCAGGCAGGAATTAGCTGTGTGTGCATGGAACCTACCACCAAGCCCCACATCCTGCCCATCTTCAGTGCCTCCAATTACAGCAGCCAGTGTTGTGACTTCATAGGTTCTTTGCAGCTCAGCTAAGCTTTAATCGCATTCCTGAGATGACATCAGGACACTTACTTGCTAAGATTAACTCAACCAATTCAGGGACCCACCTCCCCAGGAGCAAGATCTGAAGCATCTAAGAATCACAGAAGGTCACATTATCCACTTCCCTGCCTCAGAGCTCATGCTCCCAGCTCCAGGGCTTGGGTGGAGTCAGACACACACTTAAATACATCTTCTTTAGATGTCCTCCCTCGACTAGTAAATCCCCAAACTCCAGAGTCATGAAGCACATTCACTCATTCACTCACTCACTCATTCATTCAACAAATATTCTCAAGCATCTACACTATGCCAGGCCCTCCGCTAGGCAGTATGAGTAAGATAGAGGGCCAGCTCACAGGGTGGAGATGAGTGAGGGGACGGAGAATCACGCACTGTCACAATGCACTATGAATACCAGCTGAGTGACACTCACAGGGTTCTCAGGGCACATAGGACAGAACACCTTCTGCCTGGGGAATTGAGAATGACTTCCTCCGGGAGGTGATATTTGAGTTCGCACTTGAAGAAAAGTTTTGAATGGCAAAGAGGAATGGAGGACCAGGCACTCCAGACAGAGGCAATAGCATGGGCAAAGGCCTGGGGATATGAAAGAGCTCAGAGATGGAGTCCACAGGGTGTATCGTGAGCAGTTAGAAGAAACAAGTCTGGAGAGGCAGGAGGAAGACGAAACCTGAAGGGCCCTGTGTGCCAAGCTAGAGCTACACCTTTACCCTGTGCACAGAAAGAACTTAATAGAGGATTTTTAATGAACTGGGTGATGGGTGGGAGGTGAAAGAGAAGTGGTAGGATCAGCACTATTCACTACGAAATAACCAATGGCAATGTGGTAGTGACCCTACTCCGAGGGCGCTAGACCTGTAGGCTTGGCCTCCATACAGATGCCACCTGGGCCGTTGAGTGACAGGCAAACTCCCCTCCCCTGAGTCCCCAACACAAGCCTTCTCTCAGCGCCCCTCTACCTGGCCCCATCTCATCCCATGCAGCTCCCCTGGGTGGGGCCACACCGGCTGATGAGTGAATCTCCCAGAAGGTGGCGCCAAAGGACAGGTAATTGAACCAGAGACTAGGTCAGGGCATCCCTGGAGGCCAGGTGACCTTCAAGTATCCAACATAATGGTTACTTCAGCAAGCAAGTACTTCATAAATACACATTCATGTTTCTAAACTAAAAATATGGCTCAAATTTCTAAAAAGTGAAACCATTTGGCATTGCCAAGCTAGAGCCACAGAAAATTTTATTGAATACCTTTGATTCAGCTATCATTCCCCTCGGAATTTATCTCCAAAAATTAATTAAGTAGACGTTAAAAGCAATAATCAGGAAAATCTTTACCACTGCAGTACCTCTAACAAAAAAACAAAAATAAAATAACAACCCTGCAACCATTTAACACACAAATTTAGTATTATGTAAGGGGTCTTCAAAAAGTTCATGAAAGGATTTGTACTATCTTTTAATTCCATTTTTCCACAAACCTTTTGAAGTGCCCTTGTATACAAATATGACTCACCTTTGGACAATTGCTGGATAATAATTTGTCACTCAAAAAATACTTCATTTCTGACCTATGGCTTGGGGGTGGGGGAAGTGTTAGACAGCATTCATCTTCACCCAACCTTTTGTTCAATCTGGGACAAAATGACCCCCCACACCATGCTAACACACAGCAATGATTCCTTCCACAGCTGTGCTGTGACTGTCCTTTTTTCTTAATGTTATGCTGTGGGCATATTCCCACATGCTTAATCAATGCTAACCCGATTTTTAATGAGTACATAGTGATCATTTGTTTGCATTTGTCTTATTATCCATTGTTGATAGACATTTAAATTACTTTTAGCTTATACATTTCAAGGTCAACTCTTCCCTGATATTTCTTCCGAATTTTGCCATGTACTAGGTGCTAGGTGCACCTGTGCTAGGTGCTGGGAAGAAAGGAGGACAGAAATGAGTTGAATAACATTCTGCCTCCCAGAAGCTGATAGTCTGGAGGTAGAGACAGACATCTAGACAAAACTTTAAGGTAGTATATTTAGAAAAGAACCCCAAGCTTGGTGCCAAACATGCGACCCCAGACCCCATCCTTACTCCCCCACCCAACCCCTCATACCAACCATGGCAATTTTGTGATACACAAACATCCAAGTCTTCAGGTCTTTCTGACTGTGAAGCCTGATTGGTCATTGAAAGTAACACCTGTAGTATCCAGAAGCCACGCAGCAAAGGAGTAGCTCCTTCTGGTTAGCTTGAGAAAAGTGGTTTACCCCAAATTGGCCCTGAAGCCACCCAAGGTTTTAGATAACTCAGGGATAGGTAAAGACCTCAAAAAGGTAATACTAGATATCTGGCTAAAAGGGCAATGGAGTGGGGGGTCAAGCAATTACTTTAAAAGTTAAAGAAAATGATACCCAAGATGATTTTGGCAGTTGACATCAGTGTATATCTACTTCCTACTTTACAGACCTATTTCATCTTTAGAGTTAGAGCAAACTGATAACTAGGCAGTCACTTAGAATATTTATGTGGAAATTTGGTATGAAAGAGAAATAAAGTGTGATTTAATGCATTTTCCAGGCAACTGAATCTCTCTGTCATGTAGAAAATTAGAATAGAATTAGAGAGTGGGGGCTGCCTGGGCTGCTTCTGTAGGGTTGGAAGGCTCCTGGAGATGGAGGGTATAACTAGAAATGAGCTCTTCCTCTGCGCTGAGCACTATTCCATGGACTTTACATCTATTCATTCATCTTATCTTCATAACAATTGCTGATAAGGTACTCGAGGAATGGCAAGTAGAGCAGCGTACTCAAAGCGGCATAGCTGGAACATGCAGAGACACGCTTCAAATCCAGGTCCTCTGGCTCCACAGCGGGCGCTGATCCTTAACCTCTACATTCCCTTGCCTCTGCATAACAGGGGATCCAGCCTTGGGAAGAGCCCTGCAGTTACAGAAAAGAGCTGGAACAAAGGTGCTCAGGTGGGAGCCAGCCTGATGTGCCCAAGCGACAGAAAGAAGGCTGGAATGGCATAAACAAAGAACAGAGAGACAGAAGATGAAGTCTGAGAGGTAAGCAGAAGCCAAACCTACGAGGACTTTGCAAATTTGGAGTTTACTCTAAGTGGGATGGGGAGCCACTAAAAGATTTAAGTAAGAGACATGCTGTGTTCATGGACTAGAAGACTGTGCTACTGTAAAGTGTCAATTTTCCCAAAAGGAATCTATAGATTCAGTGCAATCCCAAACCCAAAATCCTAGCTGGAATCTTTGTGGAAATTGACAAGATAATTCTGAAAAGTATATTGAAATACAAAAGGCTAAGAATAGCCAAGACAATCACAAAGAAGACAGCATTGCTTGATTTACAGTGCTAGATGTTAAGATTTATTATAACAGCTATGGTGATTAAGATACTGCGGAACTAGTTCAAGAATAATCAAAGAGACCAATAAACTAAATGGAGAACTGAGAAAAA